GGTGCTCTAAAAATGTAAAGTGTTGTTGTAAGCTTGAACTGACTGATTAAATAAGTCCAAATGTAATTCCCTCATTCCTCCCAGGCTAACGTTAACTGGAATTCCATAACTGATGTGTCATACTTTACAAGACACAGACATGTACCACAACAACTCTCACTTACACAGCGCGATCCACGTAGGGTAGCGTCTCAGAGCGCTTAAAATGTAGCTTCCAAATGCAGTTGCACAAACTCTTGAAAATCTTCAAGTTTTAAATAGTGTCAGTGCTGGTGATTGTGTCAGGCTGGTGATTGTGTCAGCGCTTATTAAAAGTGTTAGTGCTGGTCTGGTCTCAGTGATGGCAATAGAAAGTGATATATTTTCAATAAAATTCAGTGTCAAGCTGCTGTGTGATCTCTGACGTGTCACTATGTAAGCACCGAGCAGTGGGGATCTGTGTGGTTTTGAAGGCTCAAAGCCAGAAACCCAAACTCTTGCTGTTCTTTTCTTCACATTTAATTTCAGCTCAATCACAAAAGGAGCTTCTGTTGCTCTGGGACAATGCAGACCTTTGCTGGGAATGACTTAACAAGCTTGAAGTCTGATGGAATGTCATTTAAGCCTGTTCAGAAACATTATGGGGTGGTTTGACAATAAGGAGACATTCCAGTCCCCAGGTTGGTTTGAAGTTCTTTATTAGCCTGTGTTAAAAGAGTGAACTTCAAGAGAAACATTAATTGAACATAGTTTCTGCACAAAGGCTATCTTTTAGAGATGGCTAAACGCACATGCACAGAGATTAATTAATATCTGACGCATTATAATCATAATCCACTCACCCGTCACTGAGTCGGCAGAAAATGGGTTCGTGCAGAGAAAAGTCAAATATTGGCAATGATTGGGAACCAAAACACCCGGCCTGATAGAGGCACTTGACAGGTATCAAAAGAAGACTTCTGGTTTGTAACGGCAACTTTCAACTGAAACCAAATTGAAAACTCCCTGTTTTTTTTTCCAGTGATTGGGAGGAATGCTGGATGGATAAAAAAACAATATATTTTTTGGGCGGTTGTAGGAAATTTTGAGAAAATAAACAAGGTTTGCATCCTGCAATTCCATGATTCCACTGTTCCCCCCCAAATTGGTGCCATCGTGGAGTCCTGTAGCTCAGTGGTTAGAGCACTCGCTTTGCAAGTGAGAGACCTGAGTTCAATTCCAGGCAAAGGGCCAAACCTTGGGCAAGTTTCCTTACTCCACACAGAGCCTAATAATAATCCCTCCAAAACCAAAACCAATAATAAATTGGTCATTTTCAATCTACGACTGTTTGTGGGACATTGCTGTGCGCAATCGGCTGCCGCTTTCGCCCACAAATATAGTCAGTTCACTTTACAGTGTGTTCTGTGAAGCGCTTTGGGACCTCCTCCCGACGTGAAAAGCGCTATATCAAATGCAAGGATTATTATTATTATTATCTGTACATGTAACTGGTCTACACTGGGTCTGTGAATCCAGGTCATTATTACATAGAAGGTACAGGTGGGGTCCTAGTATTGTTCCCCGAGGACACCAATTAATACCTCCCCCCATTTTGATCTATTTCCCCTAACAAAGACCGCCCTTCCCATCAGAGTTGGGTCCTTCAAGCAATCTCCAGGATAACACAAGCCAAAGATTAACAGCTGGACGGCACAATTGACTCCTTCAGATCTTCCCGAATCCACGTCACTTCTTCAAAAAAAAATCTATGAGGTTATGAGGTTAGTCAGACAAGAACTACCCTTTCTGAACCCATGTTCAGATGGACAATCACACTCGGTTAAGATTTCCCCATGATGGTAAAGTGTGCCAACAGCCCACTGTATGGACTCACATATGGCAAGGTTCCAAGGTATGGCTACATACATCACAGTGTTAGTCAGGAAATGGAGAGAAGATTGGGGACCAAAAAGAATTTCCATGATTTGCAAATCTTTGAGACAATGGGTGGGTGTGTTAGCACAGCTGTCTGCTTTTAGTGCCTTCAGTCCAGTAGAACAAGAAAGATTTAAAGCACAGCTACTGTGAGAGATCAGGCTGCCAGCACTTGATTGCAAGTTGGCCAAGAAAAGTTGACCCTACACAGCCTCTCCCATCAGTGTTGGGTCCTCTAAGCATTCTCCAGAATAACATAAGCCAAAGATTAACAGCTGGTCGGCACAATCGATCAAAGGCTCCTTCAGATCTTCAGAACTCCCTTCTTCTCACTGCTGATTCTACTGTAACTGGCAATGGTTTATTGAGGAACATGCTTTGAACAGGGATAAAGCTTGCAGGGACTGGGCAGATGCTGAAGCTTTTTGAAGCCTAATATATACTGATCAGAAATACATGCCTAAATGATGCAAAACTAGCATAATTTCAGAAACCCCTTCCCTTGTGAGGGAATAAAGTCTTCCAATGTACTTTCTTTTAACTGCCATGATTACACTCTGGGTGTGAACTCTGTTAGCATTTACTGTTTAGCAGTTTTCTATTTGCATACAGATATACATCTAAATTGCAGAATTTCTCAAGAAATAGCATTTCCCATTTGGGCTGATTTCCCATGTTGTAATTTCTTTCACTTATGACCTCAGTTTATTAGTACTGCAATTACTCTCTTTCTGTGTGCGTGTATGTGTGTGTGTATATATAGAGGTCCTGAGGTGCGTCCACCAGAATCAACAGTATTCTTTATCAACCCTCCATATCGTGGCATCCGCTTTTACTGCTCTATAAAAATACAAAAGAAATCCAAATTGCATTAAAATCTGGAATAAAATGCTGAAAACGACAGGAATCCATCATTCAGTTGTGGTGTTAAACTGTCTGCAAACTTTTGGATAGCAGGTCAAACTTTCCTTGGCATTAGAGAAGGGAAAAGTTATCTAGGTTTCTTATTGATGATTATTATCCAGAGACCTTGCTGGAGAGTCCTTGTTTAGAGGTCAGGAGGAGATCAAACATCGCCCTTAGTACAACTCAGCACCTTATGAGAGAACCGGATACATTGAAAGGGAGGGGGAAAATTCTGATGTGCCTCTTAGGGATATCAGGGCACAAAGCCCTGTGACATTTAAGTTCTCTTTGGAACTATAAGAAGACTAAAGTGCCCTCTGGTGCACGAGACTGACGTCTGCAGCTCAGCTACCAATGCAATATTTTGTATGACAAGCATCTAAGCAGCAAACCTGGGAGCTGTAAAAAAAACATCAGAGTGAAGACATTTAGTGTAAGGCTCCACGATCAGATGGATGTCAGAGATATAAGTCTCACATTTTTAAATAGTCAATTGTCTATATTTAATTGTCGGTCCGATCACATGGTGATGTTTGCAGGACATTGCTGTGCGCAATTGGCTGCTGCGTTTTGCTCACAAAATACAGTCAATCCACTTTACAATATATTCTTTGAAGCGCATTGAGACGTCTCAACGACGTGATAAGGCGCTATATCAAACGCAAGGATTATTATTATTATTATTNAATCACTGAGGACGTCGGGATTCCAAACAAATACTGAAGGTTAAATACTCCACAAAGTGCCTGCAAAATAAACAGGATCATTCAGGGAAAAGATTTATACTTTGCTCTATCTCTGCGACATCATCCACCTCCATCCCTACCTCGACACAACCCAAAAAAAAAACATGTTTTTCTGGACAAACAAAGTATTATTTATACATTATTTATAAAAGGGAATCCCAAGGGCTGGTTGCTTGGTATGGCTTTACTTGAAACGCTCTCAGTTCACCATTAGATGGTGCCCATTGATAAGTTTTGGGCTTGTTTAAATTTTGCCACAATCCATGTAACTTTGAAAGACTCAAGTTGCAGATCACGAGATTGCCCTGAATGAAGGGCCTCTAAGCCCACCCGATCTCATCCTCCCAGAACACCCGCTCTACTGAACGCCCCCCCCCCATCCCCATCACTGCATCAAGCTGTGTGTTAAATGAGTCCAGTATCCAAGAATCCTTCTAAAGTATTGATCTGTTATGTTATAAGGTCCCCTTGAGCCATCTTCTGAAGACGAAAATCCCCAATTTTTCTAATCGTTGCTCTGTAGTTCCGGGAAGCCCCCCAGGCAGTGTTGCACGTGGCCTGTGCCAAAGTTATTAGAGTTTATTGAAGTTTTTATGTCTAACAAATGCAGAAGAATCAATCCCTGTAGCGCATACGTAACGCGTAACACTGGGAATGTGTAAACACACTGCGTGCTTACCGCACGCTGATGACGGGCACATTATTGCGGATTCAAATATTCTAAACACTTGCAGTTTGACACTGGCGCCATACCCCGTCACCAAGACATCTCGAGGTGCTTCACGGGATATGCCGTCAATGCCGTGTGGGACATTGAATCTGTGTGCAAACTGTTTGCTGTGTTTCGAGACGCCTCAAAGCACTTCACAGGATATACTGCAAAGTGAATCGACTGTACATTAAACACAGTATGTTTAATACAGTATAAATACAGTGTATTGCGATGCCTTCAAATGCACTGTTGTTAATTAACAGCGGTGGGGGTGGGGGAAGAGTGCGGAGCGGTGGGGATCTCATCAATCAGGAGTCCTGTAGCTCAGTGGTTAGAGCGCTCGCCTCGCAAGCGAGAGACCCGGGTTCAATTCCCGGCAGGGGGCGAAACCTTGGCCAAGTTTCCTTACTCCGCTCCGCTCCGCTCTGATAAATAACCCTTCGAAAAAAAAACACACACACACAATAACAAAACCCGTCAATTCAATCCCCGGCTGATTGCGCGGGTGTGGGGGGGGCGGGTGGGGGGGGGTGGGGACGCCGCGCCGCCGTGCGCGGGCGGGCGGGCGGGCATCGCCCACGGAAAAAAACTGCCTCCGGTCAATCCATTTCGCGGTGTGTCCTGTGGAGCGCTTCGGGGCACGTCTCGACGACGCGGTGAGAGGCGCTGTAACCAACCGCGAGGAGGAGGAGGAGGATTATTACTATTATTATTAATCACTGAGGGGGGGGGGCAGACAGGGGTGCAGTCGGGGGTCAAAGTACCTCAGGGGGACAACCGGCAGCTGCCGCCACTCACTGAAGTGCCTGTTTTAATGAGTGGCACTTTTTAGTGGCGCAGTTGATTGGCTGTTTGGTTAACAAGTGCGTTTGTTGCGGTTGAGACTGGAGAGAGAGAGAGATTATATATATATATATTGTGATCACTCAGTACTTAACCAGCGCTCGGTGCCGGGGACGGTGTGACGATGAAGGCTCAGTTTATGAAGGTGTTGACCCGCTGCGGTAAATCCAACTCCTCCATCTTGTTTTTTTTTGGTGGTGGTGGGGGGGGAGGAAAGGGACAGTGACGGTTGACGCTCTGCGCGCGCGCGTGACGTCACCGCGTGAGCCGCGAGCGCTGCGTCAACCGTTCATCACTGGCCTCACCACTCTCTTCTCACCGCCACCACCGCCACCACCGCGCGTGTTGGGCGGGTTCACGCCCAATTGGGGCGTTTTTTTGTTGTTGTTGTGTTGCAGTATTGGGCTACTTTTGGGCTCGTGTTTGTTGGACCTTTGGACTACACATGCATTTTAATTTCTTGCAAACCAGTACCTCACCCCCACCCCACACACACCCCTCACCCCCACCCCCACACCCCCCCCATCCCCTCTCCCCAATTAACCCGACCGAACCAGGAAAAGAAACTCTGGAAGCCCGGATGTGTGACTGTCCGAAGTGTCTCCGTTTACGTTGCGCGTCGCGCGTGAGGTCCCACTCTGTCTCACTTTGTTCCTCCTTCACGTCAAAGGGGACAAAAAAGTGAGTCCTGGGTTTCCAATCGCAGCTCAATGACCCCCCCAACCCCACCCACCCCACCCCTGGATCGCGGGTTCCATGCTACGTGCGGTCAGAGAATGTGTCCTGTCTGCAGGGTGGTACCAAAATGATTATCAATAGGATTCCCGCAATCCATCTTCTTAACGCTTGTTGTTTTATTCTCTTCTGGTCGAGTTGTGCTCTTGCGTATTACAGTACTTGGGCTATGCTGCTGACTGTACCACTGCAATCCGGTTGTATGTCTTACAGTTAAAACTCCCGAAATGCCAGGGTTTATCTTTGTGCGTAGCGAGTACCTTCGCGATGCTCCAGCGCAGTGCTGGGGTGTTGCTGCATTGGCGGACGCGCTGTCCTTTGGATGTCCTTCGGAAGGTGTCTGCTTGTTCAGATGGGCGCTAAAGACCCCTTGGCCCTACTCGAAGAGTAGGGAGTTACTCCTGTTGCAATCTCCCAAATAAAATTGATCATTTGCTTCACAGCTATTTGTGAGATATTGTTGTGTGCAAATTGTTACCTACGTCCCCCTACAAATTACAGTCATCATTCTTTGCAGAATATCCTGTGCCGTTGCTTTGATACATCCTCCTGATGCGAAAGGTGATATAACAAATGCAAGGATTATCAGTCTTTGCCTGATTGACCACAGGCAACAGTAATTGAGGGCGTACCTAAAGGCTTCACATGTATTAAGATATGATATGGTATTGCATATACATAATGGAGTGTTGTAAAATAAAAAAAATCGCAGTTACTAAGCATTTAGGTGATATGAGCAGTAAAGGGCTCAGTCACTGAAGAATTGAGTTGAGGCTCTTCATTATGGTTGACCCACAAAGGTAGGAGTGCAGCTCTACAGATTAAAGCTGGTTTAGTGTACTCAGCCTCGTCTTGCGTTAACATTAAACTGACAATACTAACTTCTGTGGTCTTAATAATGTTTCAAACCATCTGCACTTGACCTGAATAGTTTGCAGCTGTATTGTGCTACAACCTCTGGTGAAACCAGATTCTTTCCAATTAAGCAGGATTGATACAGATCACTAAACTAAGATAAGTGTTCAGAATGTGACCTGTCTCAACATGGCTTGACCTGGACCACTTGATGACATTTCCGAAAACCTCTTGTGTAATCGTGTTCACTCACAGAGCATTGCGTAGGCAGTTCTGCTTATCTAATGATGGGGAAGAGCTGACTTGTTTGTTTCCTTTGAATTATTATGTGCCGGAAGGCGCTGACTCATGGGGATGAATGTATAGAACTGACTGGAAAAGGTTATTGGAGTCCATCTGACCAGAGTCATAGTAAGTTTCTTTTCTCTAGCATTAACTGCCGTCCGGTGTGGAGGGCGCTATATAAATCCAAGTTGTTGTTGTTAACTGTCCTCTGGTATCCTGCCCAAATGGGTACTCTTCATGTATCAGCCTACATAGATCACTGTTTTCAGCAGGCTCGGCCAAACTGAAATTGATGGAGCGAGGGTGAAGCAAGTAGCATTTCAATAGCACTTCAATCCTATTTTTATCTACACCTCTCCAAGATTCACCAGATACAAATTGGAAGCAATTTCTACTGTTACATTTACTTTCATTTGCTGTCATTACAAAGGTTGGTATCTTGGGAACTTTTAGTTGCACGGCTAAAATATATTTGGACATACTTGAAGTTTATGAATTCAAACTATATTTCTCAGGGAAGCTGATGGGGAAGGACATATAGCCATTTGGAAGTGAAATCAAAAAGCATTCCAAACCTCTTACTATTGTGTGTAGTTCTACAGCTACCAGCACCCGACATTCAGGTGTACACTTTCCACTATAGAGGGTGTAAATATGGGAAAGTATGTGCAATTATTGGCAGGGCACTATCTTGTATATAGAATTCAACAACAAGTTACATTTGTGTAGTGTCTCATGTCGGGAGGACGTCTCAAGGCGCTGGACCGTCAGGATTCACTCCTATTGATGTGTGCAGTCTACATCCAGAACATGGTCTGACAACTGGGTACCTTTCACCAAGTGGGTAATATCATCCCTTACTATCAGGGAAAATACTTTCTAATGATCGATCACAACCATTTAATTCTAGCCACAAGCACATTGCAAAGAGTTGCTATGATTTAACTGGATGTTTTGGTGCGTATAAACATAGTTATTCACTAAACATAGTTAATGATGCCTACAGTTAGCTAACCGAATTTGCCCTTTAATTGGTGGACATCCTCCACCCCTCCTGATCCCAACCACCAGCTGACTGTCTAGCACCTTGGGACATCTTCCTGATTTGAAAGGCACCATACAAATATAATTTGATGTTGTTGTGAAAGGTGCAATACAAACGTTTGTTGTTGCTTGGTGTATTCATTGTATGTCTCAACCTCACCTACAAGGCCATTCACGGCCTTGCTCCCTCCTACCTCTCCGACCTACTATCCCCCTACCTACCCGCCCGTACCCTCCGTTCCTCTGGCTCCGGTCTGCTCCACATCCCCTGCCCTAACCGCCCTACCATCGGTGGCCGGGCCTTCAGCCTCTCAGCCCCGAGGCTCTGGAACGCCATCCCCCAGTGCCTTCGCTGCTTCCTCCCTTTCCTTCTTCAAGGCTGGTCTCAAGACCTTTCTCTTCGACCGTGCCTTCAGCTCCCCTCTCAACTCTCTACCCCTTCCTCGCTCCCTCCCTTCCCTCCCCTCACCATTTCCCCCCTGCTCAGCTCCAGACCCAACTGTCCAGCGCCTTGGGACGTCCTCCCGACGTGAAAGGCGCTCTATAAATGCAATGTTGTTGTCTCTGGGCTGACTACCCAAGTAAACCATTACAGAACACCAAAACTGAATTTGACCTTAATCATTGTTTATTTGCAAGGTTTGCAATCACCCCTAACTGTTTCTTATCAAATCCTTAGCTCCCAGTCCATTGGCTAAAGACTCTATTGATGTTCAGAGCTCTGATATTACTGCTCTGTGCCGCTCCAGCTCGACGCCTACAGAGAAGGGCAAGAAGAAAGGGAAAAAGAAAGTTGCCAAATCTGAGATTGGAATACCATCTGACTTTCAGTAAGACTAAATACCTTAACTCCCTAATTACACTGTTGGAAAAGAGAAGAGAGTTTGGCCCAGAGTCCCAACCACCAACCAACTCGATAGAATTGGCCATTCACATCATGACATCAATCACATAATCAATAATAATCCCTCCAAAACAATAATAAATTGGTCATTTTCAATCCATGACTGTGTGGGGCACTACTGTGCGCAATTGGCTGCCGCTTTTCGCCTACAAATATATGGTCAATTTACTTTACAATCTATTCTGTGAAGTGCTTTGAGACAAAGAGAAGACGTGAAAAGCGCTATATCAAATGCAAGGATTATTATTATTACACAATTTGTAATGAGGGGTTGGTGTGAGTATGGTTAGAAATGTTCAACTGGATTCAGAAATACTGTATTGAACTCTGCCAGCAAATGCACGTGCATTCTTAATGACAGAAGAAGATTCCTTTGAAGTGGATTCCATAGATTGGATTGACTTGATCCAGTTTGTAAGTTTTTGAACCAAATGTGTAGCATTTGCTGAGTGAATATGGTTAGGTGGTAGCCCATAAAAGGATTGGTGACTAAGGAACTTGAAACTCGACATCTGGAACCTGGCAAGGAATGTGGTGACGGACATGCCAGATGTGGCATTTGGTTTGGCCAGTGGAGTTTTAAATGAGGATGAAGTTTCAATCACTCTTAAGACTAATTTTATGTTTTTATAATGGTTTTAAAATGAGACAAAATGCGGGGGGGGAAAAAACATTAAAAATTCCAGCATCTGAAGACCATAGCAAACCCCTGATCAGAATTTGCTATTGCAGCAATTACTCTGCTCTCTAATTAGCTCATTCTGTTGCTCGCAGCAATTGCTAGGTTTAGGGCTGCCTGGTAACTATGGGTGTATGTGCTTTACTTCTACTAGGAGGTGAATTAAGAGATAAGCAGATTTTTTTTAACAAGATTGGTTTGAATGTACAACAGCCATATAATCTGATCCATCAACCCTACCATCTTCCCATTCCAACTGTTCATAGTAATGAGTTTTAGATGTTGATTGCCCTCTGTGTGAAGAAATAGTTTCTGGTGTTTATGTGAAATGGATAATTTGCAAAGCTGAACCTGTGCTCACTTGGTGTATTTCTTTATTTAACTTGGAGGGGATTGGTTGTGAATATATGTATACTCTGCGCATGTAGCATGTCTGTGGATGTACTATAATTAATTCTTTTCTTCCTTAGGCACCGTGGTCATGTGGGATGGGACCCAGAAAAAGGATTTGATGTAAGACCACAAGCAGTTAATACCATAGTAATTGCATATTGTTAAATACAGGGTATACTTTTGTTATATAATGCAACATTGAGTAGAATGCTATGAATTGTCCAGATAAGAATACTACAAATAAATCAATGTATTGCATGTAGTTACAAGCTGAGGACTGGTTTTATAACCCTAGTCTGGAATCTGATACCTTTTATGGAAAGTTTCCTTGCAAAAATGAGCTTGTGACTTTGTTTTTCAATGTTTGGTAATTTTAGCTTAATAACCTGGATCCTGACTTGGTAAAAGTCTTCATTCAAGCTGGTATTAATGAGTTCCATTTGAAGGATAAAGAAACATCTAAGATGATCTACAATGTTCTTGAGAATAAAGGTGAAATAAACGCTGCGCAGAAAGATGCCAAACAGAAAGGTAAAGAAAACCTTTGTACTGACAAATACTGTTGAGTATCAAAGGGCGAGATGGCCCAAAGACCACAACAATCAAATGCGTTCCATGTAAATCGTTTTATTCCTCATTGTTTGCAAAGAAATGAGTAGTTGTTTGGTTGCTCAATTAATACTCTCACCCGCCAGCTTCGACTACTGCTTCAGGGGGAATGTGTTCATGGCATCAATTCATTTTATTGGAATGAAAGTACCAGTTAAACAGGGGGAGGAAAACATAATACTGTGCTTTTTTTTTCTTTTCAATTCTAGAACCAAAATCACCAGACAAAACTGTCCAACCGACTGCCCAACTAATGGGACCTCAAACATTTGTAACTCAAGTATCATTTCCATTCCAATCTCCTCCATCTCTTCCTATTCCCACTGCTCCCCCATTACCCAGTAGTCCACCTATTCCTCCACTACCTCCACCATTACCATTTGAATCTACTTCCTTCAGTGTGAGCAAACCACGCATGTTTCAAGAAGACTCTGGACTCGCTAAAGTAGATGAATCTCATGGTAGGGGTCAACTCCTGGAATCAATTCGACAAGGCTTTTCATTAAAGCCAGTAAGTATTCGCTAATTGAATTGTGTCTGGGTTTATCAATTGAAGAATTCCTGGGTTCAGAGTTTTAAAATGCTCTTTCAGTGTCTATTTGTAGATGACAGTCTATGCCCTCGTGTTGAACTCTGCAAATGTATGTTATCCTTTCTGGTCTATTTAGCAGATTATCACCAGGCGCAGTGTTGTATGATTTACCCACTGGAAATCATGGTTTGGTATACAGTGCAAGGATTATTATTATTACAATATTCACCCAAATGCACTCTTGAGATGCCCTAAACAAGATCACTTCAAAGTGCTGATTAGTACAACAATTGCCTGGTTATGAATCTTATGTCTCTGATTATGTTGAGCTGGAATACTTAAACCTATTTTTTTTCGAAATGCCAATCTAATTATACTGACGAGCTGAGGAAATCCGTGGCCCTTCAAGCTGGAGTCATGCTTTCGTTTTTATGTATGTTGTATCAGTTTCCCTGTTTCATATGCCACTTGAGAATATCGAGATGGATGGTGTGTGTATGTGTGTCAGAGCTATCTCTTCTCATTAATTAAATTGTCACTTGGCTCAGCCATAATCAACAACAGAAAAATTACATTTGTAAAGCGCTTTTCATGTCAGGAGGACGTTACAAGGCGCTGAACAGTTGGAGTTCAGGACCCGGATGAACAGTCGGGGATTAATCTCTCAAATATAGCACAGAGTTCTGCCAGTGGCTAGTGTATCATCAGCTACTGTATAGTCAACGGAAAATGACAGACTCAATTTGTGATAACTGGTGAGATTTATACCATCTGAAAATTTTAAATGGGATTCATCTCACAAGGACAAGATCTGCAATATTAAATTTGTTGATAATCCCTGGTATTATTTTAATCTGCTTTTGTTTTTTCTTCCTCCGCACCACCCAAAGGGGAATAACCAAGACCAATGTGGTCTTTACACCCTACAGAAATTTACACTTCTCCGGCACCTTTCATGTCGGGAAGATGTCCCAAGGCATCTTTACCCATTATCTATACTTCCAGCAGAACCCCTGACTTTCCTTTCATCCTCGTCTAGGGGTACTGATGTCTGGTCACCTACTGATGCCAAAACCAATGTAAGGTAACTTGGCAAAGGAAATGTCAGATCTTTTGGGTCTCATGTTCAATTCCACACTTTAATTCAGATGCACATACAGAGGGTTAGAACATTAAGCTTGCTGTACCATTTCCTCATGTGCTTTGGCAAACTGGCTGCTGGTAAAGCTCTGCCTACATTTGGCTGAGTGTAGTGACTTAATACAATTTTTTTTCAATGGACTGTTTGGAATCTTTCAGGTATCTCGTGACCCAAAACCAGCTCAGCCCCCTGAAGATGATGATATTGTGGGAGCCCTTAAAGATGTCATACAGAAGAGGACTAGAGCCCTTCACTCGACGGGTGAGCTAATTTTTTTTGCTTTTGCTTGAACCCTTCATGTTCAGCTGGAGTTCTGCCAAATTTATCTCTTGCAGGCAAGCTTTATTTTCCCCCTCCCCTTTGCCGGCTCATTGCTTGAAGTGTATTTGTTGTCTGTGCAGACCAGATATTGAACTTGGGCATTCTTCCAGTCTTCACAGCACAAAATATGTTAGGAAACTGCACGTCCGCTGAGCTACTTGAGTTTCAGCTATTCTTATAATAGTGGTCGCTGGCACACTGGAATGGTTCTGGTCTAGCCACCCATAGAACCAGCAAATACAGAGACTGTTCATGAAACACAAAATGTGCTCTTCTGTAGCACATTATATCCAAACCATTGGTTTCATAGCCAGTTTACTGTCAAGTGTAATTACTGTATTTGTTGGCAAATACTGCGGCTACTTGCACAAGCAGAGTCGCACCGACAGCCAGGAGGTGACTGATTAATTCATCTTGAGAATTATTGACCAAGAGACTAGGAGAAACATCCTTCTCTTTTTGGAGTGCTATAGAATCTTTAACGCTCACCGGGACATGCAAAGGGACCTCGGTTTATGATCATTATCTGAAAAATGACGTTATGAACTGGAATATTGGCTTTTAAATGACCTCTGATCTAGGTATGGGGCATGCTAATTATAATAATAATAATCCTTGCATTTGATATAGCGCTTTTCATGTCTTCTCGACGTCTCAAAGCGCTTCACAGAATAGACTGTAAAGTGAATTGACTGTATATTTGTGGGCAAAAAATAATAATAATTAATAATAATCAAAATAATAATTATTCAAGAAAAAAACCCACTAATAATTTGGTCACTTAATTAACGACTTTTTGGGGGACACTGCTGTGAGCGATTGTTTCACCCACAAAATATAGTCAATTCACTTTACAGTATATTCTGTGAAGTGTGTTGAGATGTCCAGAAGACGTGAAAAGCGCTCTATCAAATGCTATTATTATTACTAATAATAGTCCTTGCAGGTGATATTGCTTGTCACCTCGTTGAGAGGTCTCAATATACAAAATATATTGGAGAGTAGATTGTATTTTGTGGGCAAATTGCACACAGCAGTAACCCATAAACATTCAATATAAAACAAATGATGATTTCTAACAATCTTGAAATGAAGTGGGGCGGGTAGGAAAAACTGCAGGACCATTAAAGTGAAGTTAATCTATTTTTCCCCCTTCTAGGAGATGAAGTTTCTGATGAAGACGAGTGGAATACTTAAATTTACTTCTGGTCACGGCGTCCTTGTAAGGCAAATGCCTTTTTGAAATGTTCCAATGCCTTCGTGTAGTTTGTATTTAACACAGCTGTCTTGATAAACAAGTTTTTTTTTTTGTTTGTTGATAATCACTTTGAGGCCTAATAGCAGAGTGATTCTATCCATGTTGTACAACTTTGCAGACTAGCGTGCGTGTGTGTAGAAAGGTAGAGTCTTGCAGTTTGACATTTGAACCTTGTTGACTTGTTAGGAAAGCCTGTTTCTGGATTCTGTGCATGTTGTCGCTGCAAAAAGCAGAATTTACGTGTTTTGAAGTTTGATTTCCGGGAGCACTATCACCCAGCACCTCCCTTTAACTGGTATCTTGTCCTGGACGTTCTGTTGGGTTCTGTTTCTGATGGTAATTTTTTTTTTTTTAAATGAAAGTAAAACTACTGTGGTGTCTGTCTTTTTATAAATGGAAATGAATTATGCTTGTATTTTTTAAAAAATAAAGAAATGCTGATTGGTCAAGGATATTTATTTTCTCGGCTTTTGAGGAATGCAGTATTTTCCCTTCAGTAATTGTACTCCTGTAAGAAAACCTGAAATTGCTTTTCTGATTCATCCGGTTTTAATCTGCAGTTGGTAGCACTCTTGCCTGAGTCAGAAGGTTATGGGTTTTAGCTTCACATGGGGACCTTGGCCTCAGTCTAAGCTGCTACTCCAGTACAGTGCTAGATGTGTGTTGTGTCGTTGGACGTGCCAAAGTAAGACGTTAAAGTGAGGTCCTGTCTGTCTTCAAGTGGACATTAAAGATCCCATTTAAAAAAGAGAAGGGAATTTTTCCTTGGTCAGCAATTTCCCCCAAATAAAATTAATCATTCGCTCCACTACTGTTTGTGGGACATTGATTTGTACAAATTGGCTACTGTCTGTACCCAGAAATAGTTAATGCCCTTCACAGTATAAAGTGCTTTGAGACCTGTATGAAGTTTCACAGAATGTGTTTGTTTTCCTGGAACTTCCAAGGCACGTATGTGGGTTGACCATGTTCTACCAGTTTAGTTATTATTGCAGATTTTTAAAAAAAATATATATTTTTCCCACCATAACCCTTTCTCCCTGTTAAACAATCCAATTGCCTCTACGGCTTCTGGTTTGTTGCAGTCCACATCTTCAACCCCAAAGAAAGAATTTTTTAAATTTCACTTATAAAACTTCTAACTAGTGTAGATGTAATTTTAAGACTGTTCCTTTGTTTTGAAACTTATTGCTTTGGAACTTGTTGCTCTTCTTCTGGCATGCATTTTATTGCACAAGTGGTTAGTTTTTTTTTCCAATGTGTTTTTGCTCCTTCCCTTTCACTATGAAAATTGCCTTGAGGGAGGGGTAACCAGAGACTAGATTATATCAGGGAGAAATGGGCTTCAGTTATTATGGTAAACATGAAGAGGTTAAAGAGTGTAGTGTTCATATTAAAAAAAAGAATTGGTGAGGAAGATAAAATTCTTCCCTATGGGAGTATTCAAAACCAAGGAATGTAATCCGCATACATGTTCCCAGATCACCAAAAGTAATCCAAGTTTAAATTCAAATTATTCATCACTGATGTGTACTACTCTGATGCAGGGAACACAACAGTCAACACCTTCATCTTCTGAGGTCAAACCCTGTAAAATGTATAAATTTTTCAAAGGAATAGAAGAAAGCCATGTGTGTGAGCAAAGTCCTGCCTGGTGTTTGGTCAGATATAATTTACTGTTTGAATTAAATGCCCTCATTGAAATTAAACCGAAATCCAACTGTCAATCCACTACTGGCATAAAATAGATGATTGTTGTGAAAGTTTGGCTAAACAGGATATTCTTGGCTCTTGACGAATGGTAACTTTCCAAATGCATCTATTTTTATTTGAGTGTCATGGTTGAGTTTACTAGGGGAAGGTTATTGTTACTCATGAGCACTCGGTGGTGGGGAAAAATTTGCAGGGAACCTGAGGCAAGAAGGAAATTTGCAATGGATATTTAAATCCAGCTGAAGGGGCCATTACCACTTCAAGGACACTGAGACTGGTTCCTAGGCATCTATCTGAATGGACTTCCCTCCCCATGCTCCTTCAAGAGGCGTAGGTTGTTGGTTGTTGGGTGTCCGTTACACGAGAAGTTGGTTCAGTTTCACCACAACTGGAGTTGTGTGAAGAATCCGTAATCCTAATGACTGGTCTATTTCACAAAGGGCCTATTTTGAGTTGTGTAATGACCCATAGCATAATCTAATCCAGTTGTTATCCGGTGTGTTTTTAATTATTTTGGTCTTGTTGGACATGTTGTGGGAGAGAGGTATGCGGCTGAGGGGTTTGGTGGGGGAGGTGGGGTCCAATTGGCAGCTGAGGTCTCCTGACAGGGGAAGGGGGTATCTGGGGCTCTGATGGCTCGCATTCTGACATTCCTCACCATGCTTAAGAGCATCCAAACCCTACAGCGATCCACACGTGCATGGAAACTTCCCTATGCCTGGAATAGAAATGCACGCCCTCTCCCTGGCGGGAAGTCTGGAATGGAACACACTCTTGTCTGGAGAGTTGCGCCCTACTCACTTAATTCCAGTCTTCGGCAATGGGAACCCATCGTTCTTGGGCAGGTTTCCTTACTCCACACAGAGCCTAATAATAATCCCTTCAAAAAACAAAACAATAATAAATTGGTCATTTTCAATCTACGACTGTCTGTGGGACATTGCTGTGCGCCATTGGCCGCCGCGTTCGCCCACAAATATACAGTCAATTCACTTTACAGTGTGTTCTGTGAAGCGCTTTGGGACGTCCTCCCGACGTGAAAAGCGCTATATCAAATGCGAGGATTATTATTATTATTATTATTATCGTCGGTGCGGGAACGTGACCATTGGGCGTTTAACTTGCTGAAGCTTACTGCCACTTGCGAGGGCCGGCAAGGCTTCACGCCGCTTGTCCATCTGGGTCCACCCGACCCGGTGGGACTTTGGCTCGCAAGGCTAACACGGAGCCGAGGTCAAGAACTGGAAGGGCGCCCAGCGATTGCAGAGCGCCGCGGAGACTCGCGCGCCGGGAGGGAAGGGCGCCCAGCACCCCGAGGAGGGAGAGGGAGGAGAAAAATTGAGCAGGAAAGGGCAGGTGGATCAGGGGAAGCCACACCATTCCCTGACCCACACACCCACACACACACACACACACACGTGCGTTTTGTTTATTTCCTTGTTGTGCGAGAGGCCCCGCCCTCTCGGGGGGGGGCGCGGGGGCGGGGCGGGGGGAGCGTGTGATGGACAGCTCGGCCCCGCCCCCCTCCGCGGATGCCACTCCGCGTCGGAGGCCCCGCCCCGCGGTGGCCGCGCCCCGAACCACGCCCCCCCCTCCGCCGCCCTTCAGAGAGGGAGAGCACGCCCCGCCCCCCTGAACCACGCGCTGACCCCGCCCCCCTGAACCACGCGCTGACCCCGCCCCCCTGAACCACGCGCTGACCCCGCCCCCCTGCCCTGGCTGACTGACAGCAGCGGCGCGCGGGGCTGTGCGCGCGTGTGTGTGTGTGTGTGTGTGTCTGACACCCCCCAACCGTCGCCGCCTCCGCCGCCGCCCCTTCGGTATGAGGGACTGGAGGTCGGTCGCCGCCGCCGCGTACTCTTTAACCAGAGGTAAGAGGGGGAGAGGGGAGGCGGTGGCCGCCGGACTGACACCAAACGGTTTTTTTTTTCCGAAAAAAAAAGGCTCTCAAGAGCCAGGTTCTGAAGTAAACAAGTGCGGTTAAGAGAACAGTCGGGGTGGGGGGAAGCCCCTGAGGGAGGGAGGGGGGGGGAGAGGCCATTCCTGAGGGGGGGGTGAGGTTTCTGAGGGAGGGGGGACTGTGAGGGGAGTGAGCTCTCTTCAGGGAGGGAGGGAGGGAGGTAACTCCTGGGGCGGGGGCGCGAGGTGGGGGACGGGAACGGAGGGATTTTCCTGAGGGAGTTTTTTTCGGGGGGGGGGGGGAGTGTGTGTGTGAGCGGACGGAGATGGGGAGAGATTTCCTGATGGGGGGGGGGGTGGGGGGGCAGAGAGAGAGTGGGGTCTCCTGAGCGGTCGGGTGCGGAGGGTGGGGGGGGGGGGGGGAGCGGAGCTGGAGGTCGCGGAGTTCATGTTCAGGATCAGCCTCTGACGTTGACTTGTTGGGGGCGGGGAGTGGGTGGGGGAGTGGGGGGGGGAGTTGGCAGTTGAGGGAGAGATGAAGAGGGGTGGGGGGGGAGGGAGGGAGGTATCTGGGGCTCTGGTGGCTGGGAGCAGGCCCCGTCTCTCGGTAACTTATCCCGGTATTGTGGGGGTGGGGGGAGGGGGGGGGGTGATTTCCGGGCTAAACTCGGGGCCCAGGTCTCTCCCCTCCCTCCCTCCCTCCCTCTACCCCCACGGGCTGGTTCCCGGTAGAAATGAAACCCACTGCTTTCGATCCTCGCTCGGTCCAAGAGACGGACGCCTCCGGGAGATTCAGCTCTCAGCCCCTTCACTTCACTTCACTTCCCTCCACTCCGCTCTGCTCGAGGACTTCCAAGTTCTCCCTCGGCTCTGAGAACCTCGAAAACCTCGGGGGGTTATACCCTCAAACCAGAGCTGTCAAGTGGGTTGGGATCACGTTTTACGCTTCGTCAGAGATTGGAGCAATGGGGCAGAGGCTCTCTCTCTCTCTCTGTGTGTGTGTATGTGCTTTTAATCGACTCTTGTCACCGATTTCCAGCAACCAAACGTGCAGTGACCAGCAGCAGTGACCAGCATGTTGTTTTTTTTAACTACACACGCACACACACACACACACACACCTTAAAAGGTCGAGATCACTTCAATCTCACTTCTTGGGAGCAGAACAGGGACGTGGCTTTTTTTTTTGTGTTCTTTTTTCTTTTTTTAAAAAAAATCAATCAATCAAAAGAGCCCGCAGCAGCGCTGTTGTGGGGTGGGATGGTGTTTGTAAACACGTTTGAGTTTTGTTTGCCCAATCGGTGATGTCACCCACACCCCCCTGAGCCTGGTAATGAGCTCCCAGCATCTGTTGTTCCCCACATAATCCACTCAAGGGATAGATTAGCGCCTGAATCCCTTTTGAGTTTCGCCATCGTGGTTTTGTAATCTTACAAGGCTTGTCGGTAGGTGTTGCTGAATTTTAACCGACTCTAGATCATCTACGTTATATAAATTGACTGGAAGGTATAACCCTTGTGATTCGCACTGGAAAGTTTGCAAAGAGCTTGAATGTAGCACCAGTACTGGTGCCCGTGCATTTGATTGCTTATCGATAAGGTTTTTTTTAAAAGACATAAAACTCCTTCAAAACAATCTGATCTAATGTAAGTCATTAATCAGTCTACTGTGTATTTCTAGTCATTTCTCCCCCCCCCCCCCCCCCCCGATGTAATGTCCAGCGAATAATTTATAGAATTGACCTTTTACTATTTATATGCTTTCGCAAATTAGAAAACTTACAACGCCAAAATGTGAACTGTCCTTTCTACCCCATATCCGCACCTTGACTGGCACTGCCTACCACCACCTCTGCAACATTGTCAGACTCCTCACTGCCTCACCCCTCAGGTTGCCGAAACCCTCACCCATGTATTCGTCACATCAAGGCTCGATTATGGAAACTCCCTGCTCATTGGCCTTCCCAACTTCTCTTCACAAGCTGCAGATACTCCAAAACTCTGCAGCTCATATACTCTCGCGCGCCAGACTCCGTGACCCCATCACTCTCCCCCTTGCCCGTTCTGCTCCATGTCTCCCGCCCTACCATCGGTGGCTGGGCTTTCAGCCCCTCTACCCCCACACTCTGGAACTCCATCCCACAGTTCCTTCGCCTCGCTTCCTCCCTTACCTCCTTCAAGACCGGTCTCAAGACTCTCTGATCGTGCCTTCAGTCGCCCTTCTGCCTCTCTGCCTTCCCTTACTCCTACTCCACCCTTCCCCCATGCTCAGGACCTGACCCCTGACTGTCCAGCGCCTTGGGATGTCCTCCCGACTTGAAAGGCGCTCTATAAATGTAATGTGTTGTGAAGTTACATGGGCTATGCTGTTTTGTAGAGGTTATTCCGAAAAGTATTGACTTATGCGGATACTTAAGAGAGGCAGCACACTGTTTTATGTTGATACTTAAGAGTCATTTTTTAAAAAAAAGTACATTCCAGGTTTCACCCACAAAATATACAGTCAATTCACTTTACAGTATATTCTGTGAAGCTCTGAGACATCTTGAAGATGTGATAAGGGGCTACATAAAATGCAAGTATTATTATTTATACTTCTATTCTTGATCTTAAGCGTTTTCAATTCTCTACAAGCTAAGGGTTGAAAATATTGATTTGGAATAAATATACTTGTTCTGCTGCTGATAGTTTGTTCTGAATGGTCTTGTTTTATAGCAGGAGTGAATTTACCCTGTTGTTGTTCTGTAACCATTTAGTTAGTGTATATGAAATTATTTTAAAAAAATCTTGGTTACAGTTTCAGCAGATTTTTAAAGCAAATTTCCCCTCCTTATATTTTTCCCAACCTGTGAAGTTAATATCTCACGCTGGGGTACATTTTATACAGGTCAAGTGCAGCCCCACCCACCTATTCTGCCCCCATCTTAGATCAGTGGTTGAGTTTGGGATGTTTGTGGTCTACATGGCTCTGTAACATACAGTCCTTATTCACTGAGCCATTGGGGTAGAGACTTGCCTTTTAATAAGCAAAATATTCTCTAATGACTGATTTTCCTTCCCCCCCGCCAATGTTTTCTTGTTCAAAGGATTTCCGCCACGTCTGTTCTGTTCCTGTCTTGCTTGTCAGAGCACAAACTTCCTCTTTTTTTCAACTAAATTTCTTTTGTGCAAAAATTATGATAGTGAACCCGGTGATCCCTTCTATGCCTTATGAATCTTCCAAAAGCTCCACAGCTGAACTCAATGCTAGTATGTTGCCTGGATGTAGTCCCCAAACTATTGTCCGTTCTGATTTGTAACAACGACTTGCATTTATATAGCGCCCTTTACGGAGGATAATTTCTCAAAGCTCTTTACAATGGTCGTCGGCCACCAAGCAGGGGAGAGGGAAGATGACCAAAGGAGCTGTTGAAGAGGAAGGCTTTAAGGTGGGATTTAAACACTGATAAAGAGGGGATGAGTCAGAGGAGTGGAGGGAAGAAGTTCCAGAGGTTAGGGGCATAGAATCTGAAATATTGGTCACCGAATGGGCAGGGAATGAGCAGAGCGGGCAAGTGGAGTGGTGGAGATCCTAGGTGAAGAGATTTATGGGTGAGGATGAGGACCTTGAAATTGATCAGTGTGGAACTTGGTGAGGGCTGATTAGATGGGCGTGTGGAGGTTGGTGCGGGTGAGGATGTGGGCAGTGGAGATTTGGATAAATTGCAGTTTATGAATGGAGTTGCTAGGGAGACCAATGAGAAGTGTATTTGAAAAATTCCAGACAGAAGACGTTTTGCAGATCGATTGTGAAGAAAAACAGTCTTGGTCAGGGACCATATATGGGGGGAAAGGAGAGCTGAGGTTTGAACCATATGCCTAGATTGCATATTAGTTCAGTGAGCTTGAGAGAGACGCCAAGGATGTTTAGGAGGTCAGAGCTGGGGTGAGGAGATGTTGGTGGGAGCCAAGGAGGATGACTTCTGTCTTGAATATTTAGTTGCAAGAAAATTGAGCCTCATCTCGACTTTGATGTTTGATAGGGAAATAGACAGAACATCAACATGTTGTTAGAAGTGTGAATCAGATAGTCAGAACATTGTGGCATTTTTTTCTGCTCGATCAATTATAGTGTTTTAATAAAGTAATTTCTAATGGAAATGTAATTGAAGCGCTTTTGATTTAATTGTAAGTTGTTTCAGTGATACTTAAATTCTCTTAACCTTGAAACCGACTGTGATGAGGAATCGGTTAAAATAAAGTTTCCAGTCTGTGCTTGGTGAGTGATCTTAGTTAAGTTGGTAGGATGGATACTTCAGTTGATCTCAACATTTTTCAGCTGGAGAGGGGAAAAATTCGCCAGCATTTCTACTCCTGTTTGCTATGCAATGCAAAGATGAGGTCAGCATGGGAATAGCCTATGGCTGACAAAGTTGCTTATAAATCAAACAAGTCAGAATCCAAGTACCAACACTGACGCCATAGGTCAAATGGCCTCATCTGTGCTATAAACATTCTATGACTTGCTCTTTTCAATGTTTGAGCTCATTTATGAAGAACTAACACGAATAAGGGACTCGAGGCAGCTGACACCCATGCATTGTTTCCCAGTATCAGTCTGTGTTTCTTAGAGAAGAATATTTTTACTGAAGTAAGTTTTGAACACAGACTTCAATTGGAGGATTTTTATATTTATGAGAAGGTTATTATGGACCTTAGCACTGATAGCTTGTGAATTTTATCCTGGCAAATCACCAGGGCATTTTCAGAGCACCGAAATCAGATGTCTGTTTTTTGTTGTACGTGCTTGAAGCAACATGAAGTGCAGTGTCAAACTTGGCTTCTCATTTCACATTGCTGTACTGCCAGAAAAGGAATGGTTTCATTCCTGGATTAACTCCATATTGGAGGCATTATACTGACAACCAATGGACAAGTGAGATTTCTTAATGCTCAATCCAAATGTATGTCAGCAAGTGATAATTAATTCTATT